AAAAAAAAAAACTAATAAAAAAAAATATACAGAAAAGGATTAATTAATTAATTAGTAAAAAAAGATATTATTTTGAAATAAACACGAATAAAAAAATTTTTTTTTATATTTATTTAAAAAAATAAACAATTACTCAAATGTGTTGTGTTGTGTTGTATATTATATTATATATATATATATGTGTAATATATATATATATATATATATAATAAACTCTACATTAATTTTTTATTTTATTTTATTTTATTTATTTATATACATTTATATACATATATAAATGTGTATATAAAAAGTTTTTTTGCCGGGAGATTAATTTTAGTTAAAATATATGTGATAAAAATTCTTCATAAAGAATGGGCGTACAATCTTTGGTTTATAAAGTTTAAACTGTTACTTTTGATCGAGATTTTTTAATTTTATACAAAATCTGGTTTCTTAACTTGTTCCCTTTATTTTACACAAAAATTTATTTTTTTTTTTCGATTTCCCTATCACTATCAACGTTATGAAATAATTGAATATTAGTGGTTGAATCTTTTTTTTTTTTTGAACTCCTTTTAAAATTATTTAATTATTTAAATATAAATGCACATTTTTCGCCTAAAGGAAAAATAAAACAAAGAAAATGAAACTTTCATCTTATTTATATCTTGATATTAAAAAATTATGCGTTTGAATAGAATAGAGAGTATTGTAAAAATGAAAATCTTTTCAATTCAAAATGGAAGCCAAGATTTTCTTTTTTAATATTTTTTTTTTTTACGCCCACGGAATCTATTTGTTAATAAAAAGGTAAGATGAAAGAAGATGCGTGAATCCTATTTAATTTGAACATTAGACTTGCATAATTTTTATAGCACAGACATAAATATTTACAATAATCATTACGAGAAATTGGAAATATATAAAATTAGTACAATTTAGAATACATGCATTTTTCCCTTTGACTCGATAATAAATGCATTTCTCATGCTTAATCATTTCCCAATTCTGCATTGTACATGTGCAACTCTTTACTGTTCATCAAACTTCTATGAATGTTCATTGAGACCTTATCAGTTATATAATAAGTAATAAATATTATCTTTTTTAAGCTTTAGCCCCCCAGAAATCCTTTCCATTGAAAAAAAAAAAAAAAATATTTGATGCATAACAACGGAAAGTACGGAACTATGCGGTTATCGAGAATTTTATTATTAAATTAAAAAATTATATATTTTTATTATATATATATGTATGCATATATAATATATATATATGTATATGTATATATATATATATCTTTTACACAAAGATTTTCATTGCATGAATGAAGTTATTAGAAAAATTAGACTAACCAAAATCTCTCAATCTAAAGTAGAATCTTTAATCAATGCTGAATCAGTATTTTGATCTTACAGCATCACCCTAATTAATACCATGTGTGTGACTTTGCAGACTGACAAACAACGAAAATTTCGATCCTAACATCCCACAAAAAACTCGATCGTATCCATCGTTTCATCGTTGATTTCGCTGATCACTGTTTGATGATTAATAGGTGATATTATAATATATTTTTTGTGACTTTTAAGAATTTTTATTATATCATAAAAAATCAAAATTCCCAATAAAAAAAATAAAATATTAATATACCGGCCAGATCAATCCGACCATATCTTTTGTAAATATTTACCCGTAAATTTCCGAAAGAAATTCTTAAATAAGATATAAACTTGGTATGAGATTGAGGTACAATCCAACGGAAAAAAAAATGTGTTAGCCTTTAATGGGTGAAATTATAAAGACAATAAGAAGATACAATTGAGAAAGATTATGTCAACCTAGATAAAGAATAAGAGTGGGAATTTATGCGAGAATGCTTTGACAGTAAATCTTGCCTCACAACATCAAAAGCCGTAAGTTACGGCTGAAGTTTTTTTTTTATATCCAATCTTTTGAAGAAATTTTAAATACAGTAAAATGCGTGTGTATGCAGATTCTATTGTATTAAAAAAAAAAAAAAAAAAAAAAAAAGAGATTATCTGAATTGTATCTAAGATCATGATAAGCACATTGAAACATTGTTAACTTTCCTGTTCCTTGTTATTTTTGTTTAGAAACACAATCTTGAGCTTCCACGTACATTATGATTTTGTTTACTTATTTTATCCGGCCAGTGACCTCAATATTAAAAATAAATGAATTATTAATTTCATCTTTTGTAATCACGTGAACGTTCGATCGTAATTTAATTTTTTAATTTGGTTAGGTTATCTTAAAAAGATTTAATCTTGATTTAACCTTTTTAAGTACAATTAATAATTTTCTTTTAAAATACATCATCTTTTTTAATTACACTTTTTATTTATTTAAAAAAAGAAATTTTAAATGAACCTATCTTTCTAATCTTTTTTAAAATATTTATGCATGTATCATACGATAAAATTATAAATATAATATTGTTTATTANAACAAAATGATTGGATGGAAAAAACGAATTTATTTTTTAATGTTGATGCCAATATAACTAATTTTGTAAAATTAGGATTATCTGCTGGGAATTTGAAAAAAAAAAATTTTAATGATGAAATTATTTGTTTATTGTTTGTTCGAGATTTTTTTCTTTTTTTGTGGATTTGAAATATTTTTTATTTATTTATTTATTTTCAGAAATATTAATTACGTGAAATTTACCAATTAGGAAGGTTATTAAAATAATAATTTTTTCTAAAACGCGGGATTACGGATAGAAAGTTAAGAAAAAAAAGGTTGTAACCAATTGAATAATAAACAAAATTTCGTAATATTTAATAAATAGATATTAATAAATGTTAAAGATCATTCATTTATTTATTTATTCTTTCTGCAGCAAATAATATGTAATATGTAATACAAGATAAAACTTATCTTTAATAATTTTGTGAAATAATTTCTTATAAAACATTATCCCTGTGATACCGTTAATACGGTTGCGTGGTGTAATGGTTAGCACCCAAGACTCTGAATCTTGTGATCCGAGTTCGAATCTCGGCGCGACCTTATTCAATATTAAATATTGTTGCGTCACCCTATTCAATTTTTTACCAATTTTTTTTTTTTACCAATTTACTAAAGATTATCTGTTATATGCTATACTTCCAATTTACTAAAGGTTATCTGTTATATATCTGTAAATATCTAATATATGCATATTCGATTTTACACAGCCAGCAAGAATTTAATTGGGCTTTTTTTTTTTTGACATCAAAAAAAAAAAAAAAAAAAAAA